CCCCCCTCCCCCTTGGGCTCGTAAATATCCGTTCCATAACCCCCCCCCTGCCGCCTCCATCCGCGTGAAACCTACCCTGCGGCTGTGGTAGGTGAGGTAGAATCCCAACCCAAGTCCGAGTGCGCTGAGTGCCAAGAAGGGCCTGCGTCCGTACTTGTCGCTCATGGAGGCGTGGAACTTGACCGTCATGAGGGTGAAGGAGGCGTCCGTGGAGGAAAGGAGGCCGTACAGCGTTGCCGATGCGGCGGTCACCTGTTGTTGTTGTTGTCGTCGTTGTCACAAAGAGAGTGATCGAAACAAGGAGAAAAAACACAATGACTCTGTATTTTTGTGGTGGTTGGGGTCGGGCATGAAACGGCCCGTGTACAGCATCATGGTCGCGTCGCCGAGAAAGAGCATGGTTCGATTAAACGAAAGAACTACAAATGACGACCTAAAGTGTTTGGAGTACAACACATGCATAGATATTGTTGATAAGAGTATGGTGGTGTTGGTTGATGTACTGCTACATAGAATAGACAGCATGGAACGGCCGAGCAACGTCATTATATCCATGTCCTGCGATCAAACGTATCATTCTCGTAAAAAGGAGGCATCACTATAGGAAAGTAGCGCACGCCATGTTGGCTTCAGTCACCCAGAAATGAAGAAAACACGAAGAGAGGTGGGCAAAGCCAGACCAAACGGCAGTAGGAATAGACCATCCTAAAGACTTACCATTTGCAAAAGCACTTCGAATGTACGTACCATTTGCAAAAGCACTTCGAAACGCAACGCACCAGAACAAGCCACAACCTTGTCTCACATACTAGAGACCCACCAGCAGACTAGACACACACAGAGCGCTACGCGCTACAGCTCTGTCCGACACGCACCGCGTTGGAGCCCGTGATGAGCTCGTTAACGACCTTCGGAAGCACCGGGATGGTAAAGGCCATAGCCAGGAAGTACAGGAAAGCAGAGAACATCGGCCAGCTGATGTATTGCCGTCACCGTCGTTGTCGTTGGGCGTGGATATCGGTTCCGTTGCGGAAACGTGTGGAGAGATGGGGCAGCATGATGACATCAGTCTAGCATTGAGCGATGGTCGAAGGTGTGTCAGGAAGGGTATCATTTACCGCAGAACTCGACGACGCATCGGCGTTCTCGCTCGCACTCGCGCTCACATACGGGGGAGCCCGATGCCAACAATGGCAAGCGTGTTCGCGTTTCTTATCCCGCAACAAAGACTGCCGTCTTCTCATGGGTACACCGACTACAGTAGTGAGGTCGATCCTACTACTTACAAGACAAGAGCACACGAGCAATGTCACGGGCAAAATTCATAAACACGATAGCCCTTCGCAGAGAAAAATCGGTCTACGGTTCGCGCGCGTGTTGAGCACACTTCCGCCACAGGTCGTGGTCATCACTGCTGTAGTGACGCGTGAAGCTGCGTATGATAGCAGCGATGGCAACATCCTACCATACGCGCCAGGTTCAGGGCTGTCTTGCCCCCAACCAAGCCTTGGAACTATATTTCTTCTCCCCCGTTGGCTACACCCGGTAGACCTCTCGGCCACCACGTGCTGTTACGTTTCGTGCTACTACTAAGAGTTCCACCGCTTCCGTCGCAGCCCTACACAGCGCAGCCTACGGTCAATATCAGGTGGCACCTCATCACACTACTGCCGCACGATTGTGTGCCAGACAGCGTATCCTATGGACACGAGCTACAGCACCCCATCATCTCAAGGCCGGATCTAGCCGATTCTTGAACAGGGCTCCCGTTGGCACAGCTGGCCCCCTCGTATAGAGGTTTGGCATACGGCAGTCAACCGCTTCTGGTTGTATACCGGAATATACCAACCTGCGTCGCCCCCTTGGACACACAACCCAGTTTGGACGTGTCAGTGTCAGATCTGCACCACCACGGAAGGATTCCGTCTGCCGTGTGGGTTCAACCGGTAAGGATGATAAGGTTTACTGAGCAGAGACCGGAACGGCTTACAACGACAAGGCAACGGCAACAACAACAACAACAACAAAAACAGCAACAGCAACAGCAACAGCAATAACAACAACAGCAGCACCACCACCACCAACAACTACAACAGCACAACTTACAGCAGCAACAACAACTTCTGTGTGCCTTTCGACACAGCTGGGTATGCAAAACCGCGAGCAGCTCACCTTGGGCTGACGCCGGTGCTCTTCCTGGTGGCGTTCTGCACGACGCTCATGGTCGCCTGCGAGACCGCGACCCTCTTCTCCTTCGCCGCCCTGTCCGCCGCCGCCTTCTTCTCCTTCAGCACCCTCTCCGCCGCGGCCTTCTTATCCTTGAGGGCCCTTGCCGCCGCCGTCTTCCTGTCCTTAAGCGCCTTCGCCGCCTTATTCTTCTTGGCCGCCGCGTTCACCCCCGCCCCCGCCGCCGCCGCCGGCGCTTCCTTCGGCGCCGCCGCCGCCGCCGCCGCCACTCCCTTCTTCACCATGCTCGCCACCCCCGGCTCGGCGTCCTTCTGGCTAGCCGCGGCGGGCGCGGCGCCGCCGGACGCAGCGGCGGGGTCGCTCCCGCGCCCCACCCGAAACTTGGCGAAGACGGCGGCGACGGCAGCGGTGACCGAGGCGACGGCCACCTTGCCGGCGCCATCGGAGGAGGTCGGGGTCACCTGTCCCGCCACGACTTCGCCGGTGTCAGACAGGCGGACCAGGCTCCCGCCATCGCCCTCCCCCGCGGGGATCCAGGAGTATGGGCCGAGCTCCGGGGAGACGTCCCCGCCCCCGCGCAGTGATGACAGCAGCGGCTTTCTGCTTCCGTGGTTGTGGTTGGCCCAGGCGGTGCTCCGTGCTGTGTGGGAGGGGATACAGGCGTGTTTGGGATGAAGGCGCGGGGCGTGGCAGGGAGGGAGGGAGGGAGGGAGGGAGGGAGGGAGGGAGGGAGGGAGGGAGGGAGGGAGGGAGGGAGAGGCCGGGTTGAGGACTTGGGTGTCGCGGCATTTCCTGCGGCAGTACAGCTGCCGTTCTGTTCTATGATGCATAGCGGGACGAAACTGAAACCACTCGTTCGATCCGTGTCAAATACTTGTGGAAAATAGTAACAGTCGTATGATCGCGACGGACGCGCCGCGGAACCGCTGTGGACAGAAGGGTCTCAAACGTGGGTCGGCAAGTCTCGATGATTGGGTATCTGTACCACGTGCGTCCCATGTAGCAAAGCATCACGGCACTAACTGGTTCGCCGACGAACAAAGGCAGGGGCGAGAGCGGGTGAACGTAGATACATAGGCGCTATTTTTCCTCTCTGTCTCCTGCAAGCTGGTCGGCGGCGGCGCAACCGGAGTTCTATATTGTACAGTTCGGGCAACATGTGTTTGGTGTACGTACCCAAGGGACCAGATAGGGATGTCAAATAGCGCCCGGTAACTCGGGAGGGAGCGTCGACTTGCATAGACAGGTGCGCACGTTTAAAAGAGTTCCTGCAGTGTTGAGTCTTCCTGGTGTTCTCCTTGGAGGTAGACATGTCGATGGACATGCGGCGGGTTTCGAGCCCGTTGCCTCAAACACTGGCGGCCGAACGTTGACGATACCATAGGCTACCTTGTCCTGGGAGCTTGTTTTTTTCTAGAGCACGGTTTCTTTGTGTTTTAGGAAAGCGAGGTTGCTGTGCCCGCTCAAATCGCTTGCACGCACTTGTACAAAAATGTGCGTAGGTGCCCTACATAGACTAATAATGTAGCGTGCAAATAGACCTAACAGCAGGTAGCTTGCCTCTTCCGGCCAAATGAGAACAGCAACCCATTTTGCTGTGCACGTGGTACTTGGTAACATTGTGTTGTATGTTCGTGTTTGGATTTGTGTTGAAAAACAGTGGGTTGTTTCTCCATCGGGAAGGGCAACGTGCTGCGCTGGCCACTAGCAGCCCACATGCACCGCATCCCGCGAAGATACGTGGTAGCGTGTAACAGCCGAGTGTAGGAACCGCGGAGGACACGTGTGCCGTCTTGCTCCCAAAAAACAACCCGCGCCCAAGAGAAAAGGACGTGCGCCACGCCAGTGCACCTATCTCCCAGCCGTTTCCTCTTGATGGAGCACGCAGCGTTCGGTATTACACGACGCACGCACGTCTGTCCTCTTCTCTCTCCTCTTCCGAAAGAACTGCTGCTGTACATACATAGTCTGGTGGAGCCGCAGCAGCTGCGAATTTCGGCGGCAACTGCTCATGTCACTCAGGGGTGCGTGAACAACGTGCAACGTATGTACAGAACTACAGTCATGACGGCCGCGGCGGCGGCGGCGGCGGCGGTACGCATACATACACGCACGAACTACCAGGAGAGCAGCTTCCCATGCGCACTGCCGAAGGAGAGACCGCCCGGTGTCCCAAGCTGTTTCATGTCGCGTATGCAGCAGGCTCGGTGATGGAGCATCGCTCTCGAATGCGGGTGCTACTTGATGTTACACATACGTACGATGACCCGGGGAGAGCGGGCGGACCCTGTCTCGTGTTCGGCGCGTGTGCAAGGATCGTTGCTGCCTGCTGTGTGTGGGGTCCGTATCATGCGAGATGCATGAAGCAGCGCGGACGAGGAGGTGCCGAGGTCAAAGGAACGACGCGCGTAGCGTCGGTTGCCACTCACCGCTGGTGCCTAGCCTGCCGAGCTCGCCGCCGTTGCCGAGGGCCCGGCCGTTAGCGCCGCTGCGGCTCCTTCTTGTTGTCGTTGCTTTCGATGTGGCGCGTCCGGTAGTCACCAGCAACGTGCAGCACAAGGCTGCGAGCGCGCGCACCCAGATCGTGGCGCCTCCACCGGCCATGGTACCCTCAGCTTCGCCGCGCGCTCTCAGCACCGCCCCCGACCGAACGCGGTCTGGACGACAAAAGGATAGGGGGGCGAAACAGGAAAGGGGACGACAATACCCGTGAAACCTTCAAGAGCGAGGGCAACTCAACCCGGTTCCGCTTACGGGACGCTTCCATCGCTTCACATCAAAAATGTTTCACGGTTCTGTTCCATATCATCCAAAATCCATCCCGTTTTTGTGTTACGGTATGATTCCATACTGGTCAGGCCCTGATTTGCGGAGCGTTGGCCAATAATAAAAAAAATATGCGACGCCCTCTCGTGGCGTACCAGCGTTCCCAGCGTGTACCCGCCCCTTTTCCCCTGCCGAGCACTAACTCCTCTCTGCACGAGCCGCACAGACCGAAGCACACCGCAGAGAGTCAAGATGGGACGCGGTGCCGGAAAAGGTGGGAGGGACGCTACGCCATGGATGGCGGGAGACAAGCAGCGGTTACAGGGCTTCAGCAGCAGCCCCGACCGGCCTGTATCCTTCTCCCTCGAGGTCAGTTTGGGTGACGAGCCACCTCAGAGCCCCGACATGAAAATAGCGTCGCTGATGCTGCTGGTGGTGGTGCGGTCCTTGATCGCAGAAAGCTTCTTACGTTGCAGGGGGGAGGAAGCTCGTGCTCATTGCTTGGAGATGGCGTGGTGGCATGTACATGCCCGGCTGGGCTAAGCTCTCTTTTCCCCGATACAAAACCATAGCGTGAATTTCCCGACATCCTGCTGTCATGGCGGGGCCGGTGGGTGTGCGCGTCGACGACATGACAACAACACCCCGATCTGATGATTCCGTCAAACGAATCTCCGCACGACGCGCGTGCATATGCAGGAGGTGCAAAAGCACAGGACCCCCTCGGACGCGTGGATGATCTACAGGAACAAGGTGTACGACGTCAGCGGGTGGCACGAGGTGCGTGGTTTTTGGCTTGACCGATGGCGTTTTGTACACAATCCGGAGGAAATGTTCCTTTCAAGGTATATAGCGCAACCGCCACACGCAGAACAGCTGCTTGGTTGTGCCCGTTGCCCCCCATTTTTTGAATCCTACCTCCTAATTTAGGTAGGAAGCCCTGGCCGCCATCAACCCCCCCCCCCACCCCCCCCCCGCCCCGCCACACGATGCCGAGCTTTGCAACAGAATGCCAGCCGCTGCGACAAGGTGTTAGGGGGTTTTCGAGGCTCACGTTAGGCAGAGAGATGAACACAAGCACAGCAACAAATATATTTGTTTGTGTTTGTCCTGCATGACTCTTCGGCTCGCTGACGTCGCCAGACGATCTCCGTAGATCCGGTGAATGCAGCTCACAACCTGTACTAAACGTGATTGCTCCCCGCTTTCGCTCATGTCTTGCGTTTATCAGTCACGCCTTGACGGGTTATCTGCTCCCGTTTGTTTAGTCGATGCTGTTGGGGTTGAATGAAAATGCCGTTTCCGACTTCGTATCCAGTAGCTGTAGCACGCGCCCATCAGGCCTATCTATCGTATGTATCGTAAGAGAACCATAACCAGCGCAGTTTGCCAGGTTAATCTTGGCGACAGCTGCGTATCCGTCAACGGATGTTGTGCCACTAAAGCCGAGTGCCCGATAGTTGTGGCTGGATGGCCATCACTGCCAAAGTCTCAAAATACCATCTATCATGTTGCGCTATTGTTTTTAAATATGCTAGAACAACAAAGTCTCACTCACTGCTTTGTACTTGTAGCAAGACAATGAAGTCCAGTGCGACCAGAACGCCTGATGACATTTGCCATTATTCGAGCGAAGCGAGATTTCTAGTCTTGCCTGAGGTCTCGCCGCAACATAGGGCTCCAACCAGAAAAAAAAGTCTATACGGTATGTTCGCTTTATCTAGGTGTTAGACTACATGACTTTGGATTTTAGACAAGGGGTCGTCAGCATACCGTCCCTTTTTTTCGGAGCACACAGCGGATTGCACTCTGTACAACAGAGACACACGCACTGCGGGCGACACCACACAGCAGACAACACAAGCACAGCAGAACAGCGTACGCGTAACGGGCGACACACACGCGCAGCGGGCGACAGCATTTGGGCTCGATGCCGCTGGACTCTCCGTGGTGTGAGGCTGTTGCTGTCGCCCATTTTTGTTGACCGACGCGTTCAACTTCCAGCAACATGAGCACAGCACAACATCAGGTCTCGAAACCTAGGACGCCGATCGCCATCGCACCACTTCGGGCGTGTGCTCCAGTGTGGTTTCTCTGGACGTGACAGTTGTGTTCGGCATGGATGCTGTATGTGGCGAGAGCATCGTGGCGATGGTTTGGCGCTTTCGCATAGCGATGCCGACTGCTGTGTGTGCCCGGCCGGGCCAAAAAAAAGAAAATTGATCGGATTCCACGAAATCGGGATGTGGACGGGGGTGGGGGGGGATAGGTAACCGGCAGGTGAAAATCTCGCATTCGTTACCACACAACAGCTCTCTCACCAGCGCACAGCAGGCAGGTGTAGTGTCAAGTGTGTAGTGTTTGCACGCTGTTCCGCCCGTGGACGCACACGTCTGACGACAGTTACATCTATCAGCTGTCGCTCGTTGTAGCGACAGCTATCCTATCTTTTTGTGGAAGCAGGGACAAAGGGTGCCAACAATAACGCCTGCAGAGCCATATTCCACAAAAACCATACCATATTTTCCAGCGTGGAAGGAGGGACAAAGGGTGCCAGCAACAACGCCTGCAGAGAGCCATACTCCATACACCCATCATTTGAATCCACAGCCAGCCGCAGAGGGTACATGTCACAAGCACGCTGACACACGATGCCCGAGGCACAGCAGCCCCCCAGGCACGCTCTGATAACTTTCTATTAGATACCCCGAGGTACAACAGCCTCTCAGAAAGCACCCGTTGGTGTCAGTATTCCACGCAGGTTTTTGCAAGTAAGCAAACATACTGGATAGAGTAGGGAATGGCTAAGTTAAGGGTGCGGTCTGCGTGGGCAGAATGCCGCGCGCACTGCTACAATGGTGACAGCATGGAGGCAAAGCATCTACATCTAGGCAGGACTATCAACAGACTAACTAAGACACCTTTCTTTTTTTTTTTGTCTTGAGATGACTAATACTTGTAGTGGGCACGCGGGATTCCTGTGGATAAGACGCCTATTTGTTGCGGGGTGTGACAACGGTAGGAGGATACCGCCAGCAAATAGACCCCCCTTGTCCATAGGCATCCGGGGTTCCTGGTAGTCGTCTAGTGCTGATTGGACAGTTTCTGTGTTGTAGCCTTGCACAGCGGCCACCCAACAACCCTACTGCACAACGGCAGTAGGTTATGAACGCACGAACGAATGCGATTTTCTTAAGACCAAATTTTCTAACAATAAAACACACGTGAATGACGAACGAAAACACGACGAAGCACCCGGGAGGGAAGGTTTTATCGTCACGGCCTTATCTGGAACGGGTAGAGCCTGTTGTGCGCTTGCATTGCATTGTTTTCTGAAGACAATATTTTCTCAAACACCGAAGATGAAGAAACGAGTAAGTGTGAATGATGGACGAACGAGCGAACAATCGAATACAAGTTCCGAACAAACGTTCTTTTTCTCAAGACTGGAAAACGAACGTGAAAAGTGAGCCAACGAACAAACGAACGATTGTCATTTTGAAGCACAATTTTTTGTGACCAAAGAAGCCCGTGTGAATGATGAACGAAAAACATGTGCAGCACCCGGGAGGGAATGTTATCTTCACGCACGCCGGGGACGACTTCACGGACATCTTCGCCGCCTTCCACCCTCCGACGGCCTACGCCGTGCTGGAGCCCTTCTACATCGGGGACCTCGATGAGAAGAGCGCCGTGGCCAAGCCGGCCGCCCAGCGAGCGTTCGAGCGATCGTACCGGGAGCTCAGGAGCAAGCTCCTCACGATGGGCATGTACAACTCGGAGTGAGTGCGTTTTTCTCATTCTTGGGGATTTGACGCAAATATTCATCTCTACCCACGGATAAGCGAGTCTGGGAATAGACAAGCCATAAATTGAAAGCGTTACCATTAGCGTTACCACACGCTACCGGTGTTTCTACGATCCCTCGAGCCGCATTACGTGTTGTAATATCCCCCCAGTTGGCAACTCTTTTTCCTCTTGTTTGAGTACCCGACAGCGCTATTCGGAGGATGTTGATGGGGTCGCTGTTCTAAACTAATACCCGGAGATGGTCCGCAACTGCTGTTGCCGCCACTATCCAGCGGTAACGCCGCCCGTTCTTGGGACATAAGTTTATTGCTCCGGCGCGCGCGCCGCACAACCTCTCTACAGAACCTCATTCGAATGAGAGAGCTTTCATACGCGAGGCACCGCATCCTTGCACGCCCTGCACCGCACAAACCAAGCGCGCTGACTCCACACATGACCCCACCCCTTCCCCCTCTCTCTTGCGCACGAATACCTCTGTAGTCCAGCGCGTGGTACTACTTGCACACCCGACACGGCACAAGCCAAGCGCTGACCCTAAACATCCCCCCCCCCACCCCATCCCCCCGCTCTTTCGCCTCGTCCAGCCCGTGGTACTACGTGATGGTGTGCTCGCGTCAGATGGCGTTGTGGGCGGCGTCGGTGGCGTGCGTGGTGTGGTCGGACCGGTGGGACGTCAACATGCTGGGTGCCTGCCTCATGGCGGTGTTCTGGCAGCAGTGCGGCTGGCTGGCGCACGACTTCCTCCACCACCAGGTCTGCGCGAAACGGCAGGCGTTAGAAGTGGCCTCGCGTGTCTTAGATCGACCTGCGCTCGTTAGTACCGCATTCCGCACGGTTTTTCTTCAACCGGCCGATAGCAATGTTTTTGGAAGGAAAGGTGTTGGACCAATCACACTACGCAGCGTGTAGTGTCGGGTTAATATAACACCTCACGTTCTTTAGTCCTCGAATACGAGATACCCCGAGTCATGACGTGTTTTCGGCAGTCAGCCCGACGCGAGCGTAGTGCCCGATCCCCGATTGCTACCGTACTGAACTCAAAATTTAGCAGTGGGGGGGCCACAACAGTGCCGGTTGAACAGTACCACTGCCCGGTATAGTGCCGTTGAAGTGTTGAAGTCGCACGACACGGATGGAATATTCCAGTTGTTGTCTCAATTCTCTTAACAGTGCAGGGTGCCCCGTATAGTGCCAGTGAACCTGGCGGGCACATTCCGGCACTTCTGACGCAACCTTCACCGCTTTACCCGCTTGCACACCACGTCACCCGCGCAAGGGGTATGAATCCCCATGTTTTTTTTGTGCCGTTTTTTTTTGGAGCTCCCAAACTGCGACTACTGTGGACTGCGAATCACGCACGCCGCACTACCCGTGCAGGTGTTCACGAACCGCGCGTTTGGATCCCCTTTCTCTGTTGTGTTCCATCCTTTGTTGTTTTTTCCCCCTTGCTTTAACTCCGAACTGCCGTGCATATAACGCGAAACATACCCGCCACGCCACCCGTGCTGCTGCAGGTGTTCAAGAACCGCGCGTACGGCGACCTGGCGGGAGTTTTCTGGGGTAACCTGATGCAGGGCTTCAGCGTAGGGTGGTGGAAGAACAAACACAACACGCACCACGCCGTGCCTAACCTGCACGAATCGAGCGCGGACGCCCACGATGGTGAGTGTGGGGCGCCTGGCTTTTGAGGGGGGGAGGGGGGGGGAATAAGGCGTGCCTCATGTTGCTCTTCTACAGTCATGTTGCCTTGGGGCTCAAAAAAGGAATTACGCCCACGAAGGTATATCCATGCGTGCGGTGTATGGTGCCTGGCTTTGGAGGGGGGAGGAGGGGAAGAGGGTTTGCCTCATGTTGACCTTGAACCCAACAACAAATAGATGCGTGGAAACTTGGAGGAGAGGGGTGGATACATGGCACTTGACACCCACGGTACACCCAGCACCGTGTATTTTTCGGGAAGGACGATACGATAAAAGAAGCACCTTCTTGTCACCGACTGGCCTGTCCGTTTTTTGTTTCTCTGTGACGTGGCCCTCGCCGTTGAACGACTGCCTCGCTGTCTGATTGATGTTCAGGTAGATGCGTCCACCTCTACATGTAACCCGCATATGTTGGCGGAGATGGTGGTTCTTGAGAAAATTCCGTTTCTCACTTCCGCGAAGGAGGTGGAGATGGTGTTGTGTGACGAAAGTACTGTTTTTGACTCCACCAGGCAACGACCTCTTTGTGTTGTGTCCGTCTTAACGCATACACCACCTTCCTGCGAATTTTCTTCTGTCACTCTCGCCATCTGTCTGCCTAAACGCAGGCGACCCTGACATGGACACGATGCCCGTGCTGGCGTGGTCGATCAAGATGGCCGAGGCGGCTAAGGACACAACGGTCTCCCGGTTCCTCATTGGGCACCAGGTCAGTCACAGCTTTCATGTCTTGTACGAGGCTGCTCGCGTCCCCCCCCCCCCCCCCCCTGT